AATCAAGACCATAGTTCTTGTAGTTCTTCTTCTTGGCGATAGCCTTATCGTCCTTGTTGGCGGGGCTTTCTTCGATGCGTTGAGAGGCCCAGTGGCGGCTGCGGAGCTGTGCAACGAGCTCAGACGAGTCTTTGGCGGCATTGACTGCCAATGTCTTGGGAACAATGAGAAGCGACTGGGCAAATTCGCCGATAGCTAGCTGCTCACGAGAACCCTGTGAAAATGAGCTGTTAGAGAATTCAATCATAAGAGGAAACATGATATGAACGTACCACTGTGACTGCAAACTCCTCAAGGTAGATATGGAGCGCCGTTTCGACGGCACCACCTCCAGGAACGATGCTACCACTCTCAAGAGTGCGCTTGACGGCGCAAAGAGAATCGTGAACCGAACGCTCCATCTCATCTAAGCTGTAGTCATTGGGCCCTCTGAGAATGATCGAGGCCGAGGTGTGGACCTTGGTTCCTTTGACCAAAATACACTCGTCATCTGATATCCGCTCCTGCACAACTTCCTCTGCATATCCGAGATTTGATGCGTCGAATTTCTCATCGCCGTTGAGGTCAGAGAGTGAGCTAACCAAGGTAGCTCCAGTGGCCTTCGCAATCCGTCTCAGATCCTCCTTCTTGCAGCGTCTGACAGCCATAGCGCCCCTCTCGACGAAGAGCTTGAGAACCATGTCGTCAATACCCTTAGTCGTGAAAATAACATTTGCTCCAGACTTGAGGATCATCTCTACCCGCTCAAGAACAATGCCGGACTCTCTCTCACGAATTTTCTCTAATTGGTCAGGATCATCAACCGTGATCTGAACGCCAAGTTTCATTCTCTCCTTTTGCAAGTTCATATCGAGACAAGCAATCTTTGCATCGGTAATCCGGGTCTTCATGGCTTGTGAAGCAACGGTACAATTGAGTGCATAACCCCTGACGAGCATAGATTCCGTGCCGCTCTTTCCGTGGGCCTTGAGCAGATTCACAGCCTTGACTGGGTATTTAACCTCGTTCTTCTGGTTTGTGGTCTTCACCAGCAACATGGCATCAACGACCATGTTGGCGAAGAAATCCGCGTCCGCGCCGATGATTTTGCTCGACATAGAAGTCTTGGCAATATTGACCAGGCTGTCCTTTCCGAGCGCATCTACTTTTGTGGTGATGTTTTCATTCATATACTTGACAGCTTCTCTGAGGGCTAGCCGGTAGCCATTGATAATAGTCGTGGGGTGGATACGGTTCTTCATTAACTCGTTTGCCCGTCGCAGAAGTTCAGCGGCAATGAGGACGACGGAAGTGGTGCCATCTCCGACCTAAAAGATTACAGGATCAGGAAAGAGCTTTTTAGGACAGAAAATCGGCGTGAGTGATAGGACATACCTCCTTGTCCTGTTGTTGAGCTAGATCAACGAGGATCTTCCCAGCAGGGTGTTCAATGTCGAGCAAACTCAAAATAGTGGCACCATCGTTAGTTACAGTCACATCCTATATTGACAATCAGAACTCTGCACGAGATATCGAGGGGTCGAGCTCTGAACGCTTACCCCTATGTCGTCCACCATCATCTTGTCCAGGCCAGAAGGACCAAAGGAGCTCTTGACAACATTTGCAATAGCCTGGGTCGCAAGAACTGCGTGTCTCGTAAGCATTTAAGAAATCAATCATGTCAGTTATAATGGCTTATCACACACCATTCTGCTCGCGGACATCAGCGCCAGTTATTTTCTGTCCTCCCAAGACTGTGCGATAGTTGTCAGTAAACCGGTCTCAAAGAAGAACCCTTTTTGGGGTTTGAAGCTCACAAAGAGTGTCCGCATTGCGCGGCGCCTCGAAAATGCCTGCCATGATTACTCAATAGTAGATAAAGACGTTTGTGACGAGATGGCAGAGCTTCCACTGCTGGAGATCTCGTTCTGTTGCCCACTCTCTGTTGGTCTCCCGCTAAAAGTTCTGCCGGTCCGGAGGCGGTGAAGATTTTCGAAGATGCATCCCACTTTGACGAGGGGAATGCGGCCCTCATTTTGCTCCCACGGACGAGTCTTCTGCCTAGGCAATCGCTCTCTCTTTGTTCTCTTTTTTTTCTTCTGTCCGTTCTCTAGCGCCTGCTCGACTCGATCCTCGTTTGCAAAATGGCCAGCCAAAACGCCGCTGACATTCCGGTCGCTACTGACCCTGTCACCCTTCCTGATCGCAGTCAGAACCCCGCTGATGTTGATAAGGCCGCTCCTCAAGGCGAGACCTCCAAGAATGCCGCCAAGAAGGCAGCAAAGCTAGCAAAGCAGGCTGCTGAGAAGGCTGAGAAAGCTGCGAACAAGGGCATTGGAAAGTCAGAGGCTAAGAAGGCTACATCGAAGGCACCTAAGAAGAAGATCGAAGGTGCTGCTTTGATCGGTATCGATGTCTCCAAAGAGGAGGACTTCTCTGGGTGGTATCAGCAGGTTCTTACAAAGGGTGACATGTTGGATTACTACGACGTTTCTGGATGCTTCATTCTCAAGGTATGATTGTTCTCTGGAACGGGTGTACTACCGTCAACTATTATGGTCCCATTGTTGACGAGACACAGCCTGCTTCTTACTTTATCTGGGAGGAGATTCAAAACTGGTTCAATGCAGAGATTAAGAAGGTTGGCGTCAAGAACTGCTCGTTTCCTCTATTCGTCTCCGAGGATGTGCTGCAGAGAGAGAAGGATCACATCGAAGGTTTCGCTGCTGAAGTTGCTTGGGTGACTCATGCGTATGATTTTCCCTTTGACCAGCGGTATGTCTTTGTTATATGACTGACTCACTCCTTTACAGAGGCAACACCCCTCTCGAGAAGAAGATCGCCATCCGCCCTACATCAGAAACTGTTATGTACCCTTACTACGCCAAATGGATCAGAAGTCACCGTGACCTGCCTCTCAAGCTCAACCAGTGGAACTCGGTCGTCAGATGGGAGTTCAAGCATCCTCAGCCTTTCCTTAGAACAAGAGAGTTCCTGTGGCAGGAGGGCCACACTGCTCACCTTACCGAGGAGGCCGCTCGCGAGGAGGTCCTACACATGCTCGACCTCTATGCTAGGATTTATGAAGAGCTCCTCGCTGTTCCCGTTGTGAAGGGCCAAAAGACAGAGAAGGAGAAGTTTGCCGGTGGTCTTTACACTACCACTGTTGAAGGTTACATTCCTGCTACCGGTCGTGGTATCCAGGGTGGAACGTCACACGGTCTTGGCCAGAACTTCAGTAAGATGTTCGGGATCACCGTCGAGGACCCATCTGCCAAGCCTGATGAGAAGAAGGCTCCGCTTTACGTCTGGCAGAACTCGTGGGGTCTTTCTACTCGTACTCTGGGCGTTATGGTCATGATCCACAGTGACAACCGCGGTTTGGTCCTTCCTCCTCGCGTTGCTGAGACTCAGACGATCATCGTCCCTGTCGGTATCACTGCCAAGACTTCCGATGAGGAGCGTGAGAAGCTCTACGCGGAGATCGACAGCCTTGTCTCCCTCCTCAAGGCTGCAGGCATCCGTGCCGATAGCGACAAAAGGGAAGGCTACTCCCCCGGCTGGAAGTTCAACGACTGGGAACTTCGTGGTGTCCCTCTGCGTATTGAATTCGGTCCTGGTGAGTCCGCCGGTCGTTACGTCACGGCCGCTCGTCGTGACATTCCCGGTAAAGATGGCAAGTCTACTATTCCCATTGACGAGCTGTCCACCGCCGTTCCTGCTCTGCTGGAGACCATCCACAAGGATCTGTACAAGCGCGCAGATAACGAGTTCCGCGCTCATCGCAAGCTCATCACCAACTGGGATGATTTCACCCCCGCGCTCAATGAGAAGAACATATGTGTCATCCCTCACTGTCTCACTGAGGAGTGCGAGGATCAGATCAAGGAACTCAGCGCCCGCAAGGCGGAGGAGGACTCTGGTGTGCCCCAAGACGCCAGGGCTCCCAGCATGGGCGCCAAGTCTCTCTGCATTCCCTTCGATCAGCCCGAGGGCATCGTGCACGGCCAGACCAAGTGTGTCAACCCCAAGTGCACCCGTATGGCCGAGAAGTGGTGCATGTTTGGACGTAAGTTCCCTTCCTATGCCTTCGCCCTAGAAGGAATAGAACAATTCACTGACGATTTGCGCGCAGGTTCCTACTAAACGTCAGACATGGCATTCGAGTCATGCATATCCACGTCGGATTGTCCCGCCCGCCTACATGGCGGCGGTAACTATGACTTTATGATTTTCCTTTCTCTGCTGTTTCAGTTTTGGTGAAGGACGTATGTATTCGGTGGAAAGTACATTCAAAAAACAAGGTTCAGTGCATTGGTGAAGTGAGTTAGGGGAGTGATCTTCGAGATACCTCTGTGGTTGTTTTGTTCGTGCATTCAGAGTCAGATCTAGCATACCATATCCGTACCTTGAACAAGGAAATCAACGATCACAACTGAAGCATATCGTCATTGCATCCTAGTCGTGCCTCAGCATCGTAAGTCGGGGAAGATATTGAAGCCTAACAGGTTGGAGTAATTGCCTTATCAGCATGATTGATATTAACGTATCTAAAACTTCTTTCCCGCCTAGCTATGCTTGTTGACCCAGAGTTAAGAGATGATGCAATGACAGAAACGCTTCTAACGATGGAGAGAAGACTGCGGAGAACGCTTGGTATATAAACAGATTGAGGAACTGGATGATTCGAGAGATAAGGAAAAGACATAGTCATGTGGCAGTTGGTGTTCCAAGGAGTGTGTATCAAGGATTGCAGTAGCGCTTCGTGTCAGCTTTACTAGAGTTACTTTTTCTTTTCATTTCCTGGCTGAGGAGAGGGAGAGGATAGGTAAAGTTAAATGTTATCGAAGTCAATAAGACTCGACCGAACGTGCGCTCCGGGTCAGGTGTTCGTGTCTTGGGGGGGTGATGTGCCGACTTGCTTGCGCTCACGACAGAGCTTCCTCGGCTGGAAAGAGTCCTGCGCGTGCCATACGGCCACTTCATCAACCGGTAGGCATTTCTCGGGGTGGTAATCTCCATCATGTAGGTGACGTTGTTTTCGTCGACAGCCTGGCGGAAGTTGCAATGCTGGGGAGCTGGATGATTTCCTCGTCACTGTCGTCTGCGGAGAGGCTGTTCCGGCCGTCACTCGACGGCGAAGACGTCTGTGCACGCATGTAATAGACTGAAGGGGTGGGGTTGGATCCGTCCGACAAGCTGTATGAACCGAGGGTGCCGGTCGATTGGGTCCGTCCGAAACCACGAATTGTTTCTGGAGACTTTCTCCACTTGGGATTAGGAGGAGACTTTTGTGATCGGAGGAGGATATCCATGTACGTCACTTGCTCTTGTTCTTCAGGTTTCTCGTTATCCGCAAGTGTTCTGTCTTGCGGCACGTTGAGGAACCCTGGAGATGGAGGCGGAGCATCTGTGTGCCTTCGTCTCCTGGTTGAAGCGGAGGCTCGACGGAAGACCATCGCAGGTGTGGTAGTCGATATACTCTTGCGTTCGGAGCCTCTTTTATGCTTTTTGAAAGAGCTGCGCCTGATTAGTTTGGAAAACTGTATTTCTTTTGTTGAGAAACTCCTGGCCGGCCCTCGAGTTGCCGAGATTTCGTCTCGATCAAATGAATCCTGAGATGGGGACGGTGTAAAGAGAGGACCTGCCTCAAGGACAGGGACAGGGACAGGGACACGTCGAAACGCTTCATGAGAGTTAATCTCTCGAACTATTGCGTCCTGTAGAGTCTCGAAGGTGGGATGGGGCGAGATAGTTACTGCGGAGGAACTAAAAGCCTGCTTGAACATGCCCACTACCTCCGCCTTCTGGTTTGAGGGGGGCAGAGGAAACATCAACGTTGGGGTTCGGAGTGGTAAGGGACTGTTCATGACTTCGGCAATGCTAGGATTCTGTTTGATATCATGATTGCTAGGAGTTGGTGGCTGGATCGCACAGTGCGAGATCCTTGACTTAGGTTTTCCTCGAGCAGCTAACTCCGTGTTGATAGAGAGGTCCCGGACGTTTTTCTTGGAGTTGAGTCTGGGTGATGTAGACGAGCCATTACTGCGGACTGACGGCGAGCTTCTCGTCAGTCCAGGAGTGCCCCTCCCTCCCGATAGACCCATCATTCGGCCTTGGGTCATTGGCACAGGTAAGGTTGGACTGTCCGGTAACGGTGTGTTGCTCCATTGGTCGCCTTGCTTGTGAGCTGGAGGGACTTTCAAGTAGCCTCCAGCATTAGGTGCAGATTGTTCTCCTGACGCATTTGTACATTCAGCCATTATGTTCGGCGTTAACTTGGGAGCCCGTAAAGAACGAGGTTGAGACGAGGAGCTCGAACCTGGCCGTGAGCTTGCCGGTGTGATTTTGCCCCCATTAGCCCGTGTAAAGGATTGGGTGCCGATTTCACGTTGGGTTACCTCACCAGTTGATGCTGATGCAGGCTGCGATCGAGAGCTAGCGCTTCGGGGTATTGTGCGTTTGTTCATTCGATTCTTCGCAATGTTCCTGTCCGCCACATCTTCTTGATAAAGAGTCGAGATGATACGGGAATAAACCTTCGTCGTCCTCGGCTGTCCCTGAAGGAATCGAACCATATTGCGCTCAGCTATATCTTCATTGAAAGGAGTAGTCGGCGACAGTGCATTGGCTATCTGCACCTGATATCTATGCGACGAGAACAAGGCCTCCAGCAGATCGACATGTCGCGGATTTCGCTGCGTGAAACGACTTGAGGCACGAGACGTGGGAGCATGGGAGCGAGAAGATAAAGGTCGTGTCTGCATTTGAGCGTGCAATTCTTCGAACTGTTTCTCAATACTTTGAAAATGCTCGTCAGCGTCCAGCTGCCGTGAACTATTTAAGCTCAGGGACCTCTGCAGTGGATTGACAGCTTGAGTTGGTGGGCCCCGGGTTTCATCTGAATCAGCAGTATTTGCTAATGAACTTTTTTCGGCCTGGAAAAGTCTCTTCAGGATAGCCATGATGAACGATAGCCAGAGAAATTCGTTGACAGAAGTATCACAAGCGAGGGAGTCCCTGTATAAAAAGGGATTGTCTTTGGTACCGAAGAAGCTCAGATGTACGGAGCACTCCGTACCCGAAATGATAACAAAGAATACTGATCCAGGTAAAGTTGACGAAGGAATGGTATCGGAAGAGCGATTAGACTGTCTCGAAGATCGTATCGTTAGACCTGATTGCTTCAATGCTTTTTTAATCAGGCGTAATTGAATTCTGGGTTATCCCAGACGAGTAACTTGCATATTTCGTCTAAACGAGTCAAGAAAGAGAGAGAGAGACTCCCGCAGAGGATTGAGATATTCGGATCCTGCAAAGTAGAGATAATCCGCCAGCAATCTGAAAATAATTTAATAATCTCAAATGCTGTCGAGTTCGCAGATCCGACAGCCGTTCCTGGATCAGGGGGAAGTAGTGGCTCAGTTCCGGATATCCACTGAGAAACCGAAGCTAACAGGCACACACAGACAGAACTCTGGGTCTCTTCAGGAGGGGTTAGATTAGTGTACCGCTTGAGTTCCATTTGTAATTCAATAGGCTACGGAGAAGTTCATATCACCTACCAAGTACAAAGTACCAGGCCCATTGAGACTTCACTTGGCCACTTCTCGTGGTGGCTATGGCATACTGACAGTCACAATCGACAAGGAGAACGTTTTAAGACGGTTCCCTAGAACGTGCAGTCTTGGCTTTAAAGTTCTTACGGAGTGCATATCCAGCATATGCATGACCTAGACGCTTACCATTTACCAAGTCAAAGCTCAAGCCCACCCACTCAAGAGCAATGGCTGCAAAATGCAATGCTGCAACCTGCATTGCCAGCATGCAGGATCTCGGTTGAGTGGATTTGAAACCCTAGAAACGACAGCCACTAGCAGCATAGCGATTAGAATCAAGACAGCAGTAACGAGCATAGATGAACGGGCGCATCCAAAGGTGCTCAGTGCTCTGTCACATAACCACCTGCTGTGAAGTCTATGGGATGGACTTAAGCTGTTGACTAACGGAATGGAAAAGCAGATACCAGTCTAAAAGGCAGAAAAATGGGTCTCGATGGATCCCGCGAGCAACCAGCGCGTTGAAAAAGGCCAGTTATTGGTGGGCGCCGTGTGATCGTCCAGTAGACCAGGAACCGTCTCAATCAGCCGAAGATACCAGCGAATTGAGCCCATGGTCTTGGATCAGAAAGGATTGTGGATTTTGGAGTTTGGAGTGCAGCAGGATTTCTCGTGCAACGTTCAGTCCCTAGCGTTCTGGCAAGTTTCACTTCACTTGCGACCTGTCTGACAGCAGAGACGTTAGCTATCAAAACTCTGTTCCTCCTGTTCTTCTGGGTCCCGATACGGCTTGTCAATATCTCAAACAGCTCAACCTCGCACCTGCAGGCCATTATCCACGATTCGCTGTATAATCTAGGTGTTCGTGACAAAGGAATGATTAGGTTGAGATAATTCGATCAAACTTCGAGATGTGAAACACCGATGGTGGATAGTCCAAATCTTGATGCTGTCGGCGCCTTGAAGGTCCAACAAAGGGAAAGCCTCGATCGAGGAACGTCCACGGAGAGTCACGAGCCCGTTCCCGCCGGTATATTTGATGCACCTATTGACCATCTCTGCGCTATCATCGGTAATTACCTGTCGCCCATGCCGCTCTTACGTGGTAGTGGGCTCAAAGTATTCTACTAAAAGTCCGTATCTTCCCCTGACTTCCCAGAGACTCGGCGGGAAACACACAAACAGTTAAAGCCACAGTGGAGCCGACAGGATCATGGTTCTATTTTTTTCCCCGTTATTGTCTCTGGTGCCATCGATCATCGATGTGTCAAGAACGAGTTGAAAGCGAAAAGTATCCCGCCGTGCTTATGGACGGGACTAGAACGCTTGGTTGTCAGGTTGACATGGTTCTATTTGCGAACTACAACAACTTCAGGAGCTAGCAATATCGGGAATCTGGGCCAACGATCCTAATCTTAAGGAAATTAGTCTCGACGCCATCACCAGCACGGACTACGGAGTACCGGCTAAACCTTGCCCATATGTTTCTATATCCGGCGGTACTTTGTGATTACAATACAGTTCTCCCTGGCAGATGCGCTATCACAGGTATGGACTACCTGATCTACAGAGTAATTACTTCGTGTGTCCGCGGTAAAGCGAAACACGCCACATGTGAACACTGATTATGCGGACAAAGAAGGGGGCGTAGAGAGATTGCAGGAGTACTTTTAGGCTCTAGCATTCTGTGTTAGCATACTATGGAAAAGGGAGCAAAGAGTTCTGGGTAGGGATAGGACCCTACACTGAATACAGATCATATGCCTTGGCATTCAGGCACGCATATAGGTTCTCACCGCCTACTTTCTATAGTCATGCATCCTCACGTGATCCATGAAACCCTTAACTGTAGTTTAAATTAACCTAGAGCTCCTATCTACTGTCCTCCAGGTTCAACACACCTCTTCCTGTGTTCATGTAACCAGTAACAGACACAAATTCATCCAACCAGGCAATGCACCAAAAGATGCTCCATGCTGTTGAACCAAGCTAACTCCCTTTCATCGCCACCGCAAAGAAATATGCTCGTCCCAAAGGTGCCATGTCATGGCCACAAGAGCTCGTGGAGAAAGAATGATGGTCCAGCGACGGGACCCAGCTACTTTTCGGCAGTAGTCTCAAAAGCACCCTTGTTGGCGTCTTCGTGGTCGGTCTGATCATCTCTATTGCGCTTAGAGGTGCGTCTCTTCTTAACAGGGGGAGCGACGTCAGATTCAGCGGTGTTGGCGCTCTTGGAACGACGGGGTCTGAAAACACCCATCTTGGGCATAGCCTTGCCAGGAGCTTTTTCGGCTTCAGGCTTGACTTCAGCGTTGCCCTTGCCGTTGCCGTTGCCAGACTTCGCGGCGACGTCGTCGGCGCTTTCAGTCTCGTTTTCCTTCAGAGCGCCTTCGATCTTTGCCTTGAGACGGACCCATCTCAATCTAGCGGCCTTCTTGTTCAGACTGGTGGCCTTGCAGACGGGGTCCCAGTCGATCTATGAGAAACGAGTATGGTCAGTTGTGTCCTTGAGGAAAGCATCATGAAGAATGAACCGATTGACATCAAGCGGTTGCTCCGTTGCTACTCGTCTATGCTCGTTTCATTATTCTGAAGGGAGGACTTACAGTCTTGTCGTTCACTCCGTTAAGGATGTGATACATGAAGATGTGCTGCTCGTCAACGGTTGATTTAGGCATCGCGACGTTTTCGAGTCGGACGTGATGGGGAGAGGAAGATGTAAAGAGGATGCTTTGATCAATTTGGAGATCAAAGTGAGGGTGATTGAAAGTTAGTGAGGGAGAGAGTGGTCGGACGAGAGGTTGGTGTTTATTTCGGAATGAGTCGAGCTCACCTCACAGGCAGGCAGAACATCTGCTCTAGTGGTTTAGTCCTGAACCGCCTTACGCGGTGTTTGATTCACTGGTAGTATACACAGTGAGAGCCCACTCAATTTATGACTATACTGAATTCAAGGATTCTATCGAGAGAGCAATGACTGATGCTCGATCACATCTAATCGTAATATGACAATTGAAAAGAATCCTAACGACGTTGGTATTATTTCTTCGCTCATTACAAGAGACCTCAAGCCGTAGAAAGGCCGGCAAACCGTTCAGCAGATTCCCTCACTGCCTCTGCCAGAACCGTATGCGCTCCCCGGGCAGCGTCCACCGCCCCATCTATTAAAGCATCATGCCCCGAGCGCTTGTCATCGAGCACCTTTGAACTATCCCCCTTGAGCCATATTTCTGTAATCTCGTCCCGCGAAGGCATATATGCGACGACACATGCTGACAGGATAGACCGATGTTCAGCAGGGTCTGTATCCAGCATAAGCTTCGGTGCTGACCTCTCTCCCTCCGCTGACTCGTCAGAAACAAGAGCAGCTACGCCGCCAGCCACGAGATCCAAACAGTCAATTCGCGCATCCGCAATAGCCGCAGAGGCAGCCGTGATGCATCCAGCCAGAACATTCATCATCCCCCACGGAGCATCATGAGAGTCTGGCGCATCTCCCCACCACCGATCATCTTCTGCCTCTAAGATCGTAATCGTGATGTCCAACCCACTCTTCGGCCACCGTTCAGCAACAATAACACCCCGCAGCGCGGTCTCTAAATGCACACCCAGGTCCCGTTCGCTAGTATCTCGGATGTGCCCTTTCCTCCGGCGGGCAGCGAACGGCGCATATTTAACATGAGTGGTGAGAACAAGGTTGGGCGAGAATGTAGCGGAGCGGGGAAGCGGTTTCGGTCCGTGAACAGTGCATGCAAGCTTCAGAGCTGACGAAGGAGGGATGAGAGATTGAGGAGAAGAGCGTGCAGCGGCGAGGGAGGCTGAGGGTTCGAATTCGAGGTATGAGGAGCCTGATGCGGAAGGTATCAAGCCAGTCTTGAGGACTAATACGCAGACACGTTAGCTCTTGAGCGGGTGATGTATAGAACTAATATCTCACATATTTTGCGCAGTTCATTTGGTTGCCTTTGCCGTTGTGGCCTGCCAGATGCAGTATCAGTCGTAGATCTGAGCGACGATGCAAAGACCGCAGGCCTTGTGCCACTGGGCGGCCCATTGATTCTTCGTCGGTCAGTCATAGCAGGTATAACTTGGAATGAGAAGAAACTCCGAATCCAGAGCGAAAAGGCTATGACAATTGATAATACAAGGAACAGTTAATAGAAATCCCATCAAGCGCTTCGAGCGACTTTCCCAGTCCAGAAACGGAAATCTGCGATTTCAGAAGATGTTTGCACTGTTTGTCTTCGTCCGCTGGTGGATCACACTTTTTTTCCCACTCGACTATTTCTTCTCTGTTTTTCTCCTCTTCCCTCTTCCTTCATCTCTTCTATGCTTGACTGCCAACACTAGACCTCTGATGATGAGCCTGAGTTGTTGGTAAAAGTACATCAGCTTCTAAACCGCCA